TCCACATCCCTCCACTTCAGCCAGAAGGGTGATGTGGTGGAGCACGTCCAAGCCCTGAGAGAAGTCCAGAGAGGTGAGATGTGCAGCCCTTCCCAGGGTCACTGCTGCATCACCTCAGTGTAGAAGGGCACTGAGGTGTCAGGCAGGACGGGGTGAAGCTGTGCTGGCTCTCTCAAATCCCCTCTCTGGGAGGGCTGTGCCTCAGCACAGTTTCTAGAAGGATCTGCTCTGTGCTATTCCCAGGTACAGAGGTGAGGCTGAGAGCTCAGCAAATCCCAGGGTCCTCCTTTGCACCTTCCTTAAAAGTCAGTGCAATGTTTCCCTTCTTCCTGTCACCTGGGACTTCACCTGACTGCCAGGACTTTCTGAACATCCTGGGGAGTGTCCTGGGGGCTGCATCAGCCAGTTCCTCAGGACTCTGAGGTACATCTCTCAGGTCCCACAGAGGCACCTATTTTAATGTTCCTCAGGTGGTCATGAACCAGATCTTTACTCCAAGTGGGAGGGACTTTGTTCCCCCAGTCCCTACCTTCTGTTCCATTCACTTGAGACACATGATAGGAGAGGTTGCCATTGAAGACTGAGTCAAAAAATTCCACATAAAAACGGTCAACTTACAACACCAGGGTTTAATTCTCCCTCTTCAAATGGGGGATATAAACAAAATTTTTCTCAGTTGTATGCAAGACTGAGCTGTTGGACAAGTAACATTCCATACTGAATAAATGACAAAGGTTTGCACTTCCTCAGAACTAGACTGCATTTAGACAAAGAATATGTATTTTCTTCTCAAAAACTTGCACATTAGAACATTGGGAATCTTATTAATGTAAAAAGCTATTTTAGGTGTCTAGAAGTCATTTAAAAATCTATTACTAATAGTTTTCCCTTTTGAGTTCTAGAAAATTAGATTAATGGTATACATAAATGAAATTTCATACTGTGAGGTAGGGAGGAGACCAAAAAAATCCCTGTGATTTCTTATTAAAATATGTCTCAGAAGCACAGTTATTTTTAATCTTAAATATCTGGCAAACCAAAAATATGAGAGAACATAATGAGGTACAAATATTTTATTAACAGCTCTTTGAGATGTTTCGTGAATAATTTGTGGGACAAAAAATCCTGATATAGCCTTACAATCCCATTCCAGCACAAAAGCTTTGGGATCACATGAAAATGCAGTTCACTACTTCCTATGTGAATATGAGAATATATTCTGCTGGATATTTTCAGTTATATCAATTACTAATGCACTGTCACTAATTTATATACAGAAATTGCACTGTAGCCACGTAGTCAGAACCAGAACTGCAGTCTCACAAAGAAGACAAATAAAATCTCCCGGCTACAGCCCTGTTCATGAATTTTTCTGTTATTCCTGAGCAAACCAGGCCTGACCACTTTAAGACAGACAGCTCCATTCTGCAGTTTTCTCCTTTTTTTCCTTTTTTTTTTTTTTATGTATTTCCCATTAAAATATTCAGTATCACACAAAAAGAATCATATCAATAGCATTCTCATCTATCTTCTGATACAAGTTTGGTCTGCTCAAGTGCGTAGGTGACTACAACTTAAAAGTGTGATTTCAAATATCTGAGAATAGATCAGAGTCTTTCTTCTCCCTGATTCAGAGTGGAAAATTATCTTCTAAACCCAGTAAAATAGGGACATGCAGCTCAGTTCCTGCAGGCATTTTAGTCCAGACACTGCTATTCCAATGATACTTTTTTTTGCACTGAAAATACTCGTATCACCTCCTGTTGTTTCATACCTTTCCAGCCCTCTTGTGAGAATCAAAAGGAACCCTGATATGGCTCACCAGGTTAGTCTCTGCTGGATGATTTGTTGATCTAAATTTGGCTCCAATTCTGTCCGAAGATTAAAAAATCAACAAGATGTGTGTCACAGCCAGCATCATCCATCTGTCATTACCCTCAAGTACATTTTAGCTGTGATATTTATCTACTTGCTGCTGCTTTGTAAACAGAAAACAAAATGGTGAATATCTTGACAATTAACCTTTCTACACACCTTACCTTATCTTCTGATTTAGCTGCCAGTCTTCACTCCTTTCCTAGGCAGAACTCCCAAATCAAACCCAGAATGATTATTTCCCTTCCGCTAATTTAGTAGCTAAGCTGACTGAAGTATGAAATGTTTCATGTTGAATCAGTATCCAAAAACTTCAAAATATCCAAGACCCTCCATAATGTCTTATGAAAATAATTAACATTTCCAATGCACATCAGTGTCTGTATGCATATGCAGAACAAGAAATAAAAGCATAACCATTTGCAAGAATACCCCCTTACACATCAACAGTTACACAAAATAAGACAAAACTTCTCTGTAATTTATGCCATTAACAGCAAGGGCAGTGTCACTACACTACTAACAGGTGATCCATCAACACAGACATTAAGTAAGACTGAAAACCATTATTAAGTTTTGGCAAAACAATGCTGAACAGTTCAGTTTCACAGTTCCCAGAGTGGCTTTTTTTGTATTGTTTGGTTTTAAAGTACACCAGTGAATGTGTGTCTTTTTCTGCACAGGTTGGAATTACTGCTGTGACGTAGAACTATTGTATAAATAGCATCTACTGCTTAGAAAATTTGTTGATTTGGTTATGCAGTGTCTAATGTTCAAATCTGTGTCTGTACAGATGAGTAGAATCAGATTTAATGAATCTTCAAAAGAAAAATTCTGGATGTGCTTTCACATTTAAGAAGGGGATGGTAAGTACCATAATACTGTGATGGGGGGGGCTACAGCAAAACAGTTTTCTGACATTCTCTGGCTCTTCCAATCAAACATTTATAGGAAAAAAAAAAAAAGGAACAAAAACACTGAAAGGAAGAAAGCAACACCTTGGGTTGCTTTTCTGTTCTTCCCAACTAGGATAAGCTTGTTGGAGTGAAAGTGAGTAAATGGGAATAACAGAAAAGCTGATGATGAGCAGAAAACATACCATTTTACTGCAATTGAAAGAACATTGATTGCTACTAGAAGCACTGAAACTTTCTTCCTTGTTTCCCAAGAAAGGTCTGATATGGCCTCTCCATTACTCTCTACAGTGAATTGGTTGTACCAGATCAATCTACTTTGCCTCCAGTCACCAGTGGAGTTCCCCAGGGCTCAGCGTTGGGGACGACCCTTCTAAAAACTTTTATTGTTCTGGAGGAGGGAATTGAGTGTCCCCTTAGTTTGCAGATGACACTAAGTTGGGTGGGAGCATTGACCCGCTAGAGGGAAGGAAGGATGTTCAGAGGAATCTGGACAGGCTGTATAAATGGTTTAACGAGGTTAATTGTATAAGGTTCAATAACACCAAGAGCCAGGTCCTGCTGTTGGGTCACAACAGCCCCATGCAGTGCTACAGGCTTGGGGAAGGTTGGCCAGAAAGCTGCCTGGCAGAAAGGGACCTGGGGATGCTGGACAAGAGCCAGCAATGTACCCAGGTGGCCAAGAAGGCCAGTGGCATCCTGGCCTGTATCAAACATAGTGAGGCCAGCAGGACCAGGGAAGAGATTGTCCCCCTGTACTTGGCACAGCTGAGGCTGCACCTTGAATTCCTAAACCATGACAGCCCCTCGTGAGAAGAAAGACATTGAGGTGCTGGAGCGTGTCCAGAGAAGGACAACAAAGCTGATGAAAGGTCTGTAGCACAAGTCTTACGAGAAACAGCTGAGGGAGCTGGGGTTGTTTAGCCTGGAGAACAGGCAGCTGAGGGGGAACCTTATTGCTCTCTACAACCACCTGAATGAAGGTTGTAGCAAGGTGAGGTTTTATCTCTTCTTGTGGATAATGAGTGACAGGGCAAGAGCAAATGACCTCAAGTTGTGCAAGAGGAGGTCTAGATTTGATATTAGAAAAAAAATTCTTCACTGAAAGGTTGGTCAGGCATCGGAACAGGCTGGAAACTGGTGGAATTACCATCCCTTGGAACTTTAAAAAAATAAACTTGTGCATGTGGCACTGAGGGTCATAGTTCAGAGGTGAACATGGTGGAGCTAGGTTAATGGTTGGACTTGATCTTAGAGGCCTTTTCCAACCTTAACAATCCTATGATTCTGTGATCTGTGTTTGTGCCTTTATTGTGGAAACAGCTTTTACCAGGATTAATAATATTTTTTTCCTTGGGGATCGTTTTCATTAATAGTGCATAATGTCTCAAGAAGAGACAACAAACTTTGTCCTGCCTTCGTTGTTAAACAGCAATCCCTTAAAATCTTCTGTTTAATGCTTTAGGGTAGCCTGTGGTAGGAAGCTATATCCTTCCCTTTCTGTCAAACCACCTCTTGGAAGGTGTTTGTCCATTAAATTCACCGGCCTGTTCAAGTTCTGCAGTCAAAGTGCTGACAAAACAGTGTTCATTTTATGTCCATTGTCTCCTGCTTGTGTCTTGTTTACGATCTTGTTTAGTGCATTTAGATGCCAGGTTGAAACTATAAAATACATCTCAGTGTCTGTGTAGAATTTTCTCTATGAAATATGGTGTGAGTAGATAAATCAAAAGCATGAGTGTTACTCTAATAGAGCACGAAAAGAGTAGAAAATAGCAGAAAATTTTAGAACTGATTTCTGTGTTTCAGGATGCTCTCTCTCTTCTTGTTCTCCTTTGTCAGACCCAGGGAGGTGGAGGGTTTAGCCTTTTTCTTAGGGTACATAAGGATTGACAATCATGGGGAAGGCTTAGGACTTCTGGAAAGGCTGAGGTATTAGTACACTTGGGTCCACAGGCTCAACAATGGTGAACTCGTAGTGCAGGATACTCATAGTTTCCTCAACTCCCAAAGATAACAGCAGTTACAGCAACTTTTTTCCTTGTAAGAGCAGTAAATCCCTCTCAATATCAACACAATCTGTCGAACAATCTTTTATATTGTCAGATCCAAAACCACAGGAGAGCCAAACACTACAATTCTTGCACACAGTTTAAAATAACAAAGGCCAAAGTATGTAAACATTAACAATTTGTTTCTCTAAAACCCCTGATGTCATGGTGGGTAGATTTAGGTTAGATACTAGGAAGAAATTCTTCCCTGTGATGGTGGTGAGGCCCTAGCACAGGTTGCCCAGAGAAGCTGTGGATGCTCCATCTCTGAAAGTGTTCAAGGCCAGGTTGGACGGGGCTTGGAGCAACCTGGGCTGGTGGAAGGTGTCTCTGCCTATGACAGAGGGGCTGGGACTAGATGATCTTTGAAGTCTCTTCCAATCCAAATTATTCTGTGATTCAATGACTCTTTGTATACATTACTTTATTAAATGAAGACAATTACCAAGGTCTTTAAAAATTCAAAAGACAGATTTTATGCAGGATTATATTTTTGATTTCATTTTACCACAATCTTATGTTTCACTTCATCTTGTTTGAGGCTTACAGTTCTGTAATACTTCTATTTTTCTTAACCTGTAAGGAACATAAAATACCAGCTGTTCTCAGGAACAACCCTCCATCTACTTGATTGCAAGCAATAACTGCCTCACAGTCTGAAAACAAAAACATGTTAACTTTTTCCCATGTTTGAGCCACGGTTTTCATACAATTTGGCAAGTATAATTAAAGCCAGAGAGCTGTAAAAATGTAGAGGGGACTGTTGGCTGTAAACAAGGAAGACAATTACCAGAAAACTAATAATAATATCCACAGATGCTCATTTACCTGTAATAGAGTTAAATGGCTTGACTATAAATATTTGAATATCTTGAACTGACTTACCAATCTCCGCTGGGAGATGGTGGATTTGATTTTTTGACAATTCCAGTACTCTCAGATCCTGAAATAATGCAATGTAGGCTGGAATGGTTTGTATCAATGTATTGTTCACGTGCCATTCTTTCAGATAAGTCTGTTCTTTCAGAGAATCTGGGAGCTCCTGTAAATGAAATAAGAACGGGAAAACAGAAAGTGTGAAGTCAGAATTTTGTTCTGCCATGTTTCTAAACACAGCCAAGCCTCAATACTTTGCCTTAATTATCTTGAGCGGAATAGCAGTTTGCCAAAGCCTCACAGGAGCTGTCTGCCTCTGAAGAGCATTGCAGCTGTTTTTCACCACATATTCATTTACTAACTTCTAATGCAATCATTTGCTCTAAAACAGAAACCTCTCCGAAGCACTCAACCTGTTTGGTGTCTCACACATTATCTCCTTTTTCCAGATGGAGGGTTTTTTTTTAAAACACATTTCAGTGCTTTAATTCACACATCAAGATGTAGTAAAATGCAACACAGAACAGAAGAGTGAGTGTATAGAGAATATTTAAATAGGGTTTGTCAGCATAAAAAAAAAAAAAAAAGGTGTGATTATGTTCTGAATACGTGCCAATATTTCAAATTTGTTTGGCAAGATGGAACAGAACTATCTCAGAGAGGATACACACATACCACCTTTTGAAAGTCTTTTTCCAAAAAGAGTTACTTAACTTCTTAAGTTGTTACAGCAACATTCCAAAAATTTTTACTAGATTTCTTTAGGAAGAATAGAAATACTTTATTTTTAGATTGGTCCACAATTGCAAGTAATTCTTGATTTAGTCATGCGTTGCTTTCAGAATTCCAGTGTTTTTGAAATACACAGGAAAAATATGCTTCTGAGTAACTTTCAGACTATTCTATTTGTCAAAAATATTCAATGTAGCTGAAACTAAAAGTCATAAAGCCTTCAATGCTTACAGAATTACTTTAGTAATTCACTTCAGATGTGCATGTATTTGTTTGAATTATGTTGCCAAATTCCTTGAATCTGAAACAGAAAAAAATCAATTCCTAAAGGTGAAGGTCAGATCGTTTATACTCTGCTTTCTTAAGCATCACATAATTTACCAGTCTGTCCTGGGTTTTATAACACTGTGCAGTGGTAACATCTGGAACCAGTAGTCTGGAAGAAGTTCTGCCATTAACTTTGCTCCATAAGAAGCAATGTGAGAGTTTCAGCCTTTGATTCCTTTATGACTTCCAGACTTGTTTCCTGTGTATGAAGAACATGACACAGTAGGAACTGCTGTTTTTTGTGCAAAAGATATTGCCTACTTTTTCTTGTCTTCTAAATTTCATAGATGCCCCAAAACATTAACAAGAGTAATGCACTTTAATTGGGTTTTTTTATTAACGCTGAACTTCTGAGCTAGGAATAATGCTACTTAACTTTTAGCTATATTATAACATCCAATTGTAATTAAAGATATACTGGACTCTTGATTAGAAGCTGTTGGTGGTTGCTGCCTCTCTTTTCAGTTCTTTCCAAATTTACACATGCAGACCCTTAGCCTATGTTAATGTAGTTCTGTCTTGCTACCTGCCCTTCCATATTTGATATGGATCATTTCATGTCTTGCTTCATTTCCCAACTAGGTGTATATTGCATTGTGATCCATCTTCTATATTTGTCAGTTTATGGCAATTAAAAAAATAAAATGCCTGAAATGCCCCAGAACTGGCAATGAGAAATCTCTCCAACCTTCTCGGGTTAGTTTCCATTTCTCCACTTTCATTGCTGCACATTTTTCTGCAGCAAAATAAAGCAAGAGATACCATTAAATTAAGCCAAAATACAAAACAAAAATTGCGTATTATTAATCTACAATTTTATTCTAAAAAACCTTTATGTCAGCATTAAGGGTAGTTTCAGATATCCTGTGCAGCAACTACATACATTCAGATACAATTTCAAAACAATGGAGAGAGATTCCATTCTTCTACCAACTGCCAACTTACTTTTCTTTCTTGAGATTGTTTCTTTGTACCATACAATCATATTTACAATTTGCAAATGCAAGTGGGCGAATACTTTGCTATTATGTGGTTTTTCAACATTCTCCACTTTACAGTGCATTTATATTTGTGTTGCTGAAACATAAATTGATTTGATATTTTGCTTCATTTACAAAGTAGATAGGGATGGGAGCTAGAATTTGCACAAGCTCTGTGTTTGCTTTGCTCTCTGATTCCCTTGTGTTCTTTTGTAATCTTCTGCTGCCACGCTATAGCTGGCAGCCTGCTGATAAATTGCTTCATGAAGACTGACACTTGGAGGATAGCCAGTCTTTTGCCTTTAACAGCAAAACAATACCCTCAAACTTGTTTGATTTTTGGGAGAGGAGGAAAAAAAATTTTAAAAGGAAATAAATAGCTAGCCTACAACAATTGCTGATCGGAGCCAAAGGTCCCATGACCCAGAACAAGAAGATGATTGAAGAAAAGAAGAATGCATTTCTTTGCAGAGAGGGTGCTCAGCCATTGGAATGGGTTGCCCAGGGAAGTGGTGGATTCTCTGTCCCTGGAGGTTTTTAAGCTGAGACTGGATGTGGCATCAGTGCCATGGGCTGGGAACCACAGCGAGGTTGGATCAAGGGTTGGACTTGATGATCTTGGAGGTCCCTTCCAACCCAGCTGATTCTATGATTCTATGATTCTACGAAAGCTGATAGGTGTAAAGATGGACATTAGTCATTAATAGGTAGAAATATGCATACTGTAATTTTATAGGGCCAAGTATTTTTTGTTGAGAGGTTGAAGATGCTCAGCTCACAGACCAGAAGCAAAACTAGTTCCTCTATAAGTAGAGGCTTAAAATAAATAGTAAATTATTCTCTTGTTGACCAGTGAGGGTGTCCATGCCTCAGTCACTACACTTGGCCAAGAGGGAGAAGGAGTAGAAAGATGACAGAGACCAAGGGCTGTCCCAAGGAGAAGAAAACAGAGAAAACCCCTGGCCCGTGGAGAAGTCAACAGCAGTGGCCTGAGGATGAAGAACTCTGAGGCCTCTCCAGCCTTGCAGAGCTGGCCCCAGAAGAAGAAAACACAGACCAGTATTGCGGTACTGGGAATGAATGTGCCCCTCCCACACGAGGCATGGGCAGACTACCTGGACTCTCAGCCAAGGAGCTGGAGCTGGGGCAGTCCAGAACATGTCTCCTTATGACTTGAACCCGCTAGTGCTTTACTTGGGCACAGGGATGGCAGCTGGCCCTAAGCCTGTGCAGCATCCCTAGGATCCCAGAACATAAGGGACCAATGTGTATGTTTCATACACCAATATCCAAATGGCGGTGGAGTCAACCAAGGATTGTTGGTAATAAACAGGGATTGTTGGTAATAACATGGCATGGCAAAGAACAAGATGTGGGGGTGTATATTTTTATATATATACATATATATATGTATGTATGTATGTATAAATAACTAACAAAACTGCAGAATTGTTCCAATCCATGCAACCAAATGACTGTTTTGAAGGCTGGAGCCCCAGCTGCTGGTTGATGACTGTGCTCCCATTACCAGGACTCACGGGGTGGGGCTCATGGTTAGTGCAAATTGGAATGAAGTTGTTAATTGGTTTTATTTTCTTAAGGATTGCAATGGCATTGTTTGATACATGATTTCTCATGTTATCTATTCTGCCTCATCCCTGTTTTCTCCCTCTGCTCACTCTGTGCACGAATGTGGATGAAGAAAGTTATCAAAAATGATGATCACTGATCAGTGTTTAAGTCATGGGGTGGTGTAAGGAAAGGGTTAAAAACATTTGCAGTATATGCCTTAAACAGGTGCTCAGTCATGACTGTCTTCTGCTTGTACTATCTCTCTCCTTCTCACTCTCTCTCTCTCTCTCTCTCTGCCACCGCTCTCTTTTCCCTGTACACTGATGCTGCAAAATAAAGTTGGTATTGTCGAACTGGCATTTGGTCTCATTTGCACATTAATATGGGCAGAGGACTTTAACATCAAATAGTAAATTACTAATAGATTTTTATGAGTTTTTGTGGACCCTCTGGCTTTTATTGTTCTTAACCACGAGCATTTACAAATCTTGGGTGTTTCCTTCCCTCCCCATAATGTTACCTTTGACATTCAGATTGTTTAAAGTCGGTGTACATCCAGATTCTCTTCCTAGGTAAAGCAGCCTGACCAAGAACAGTCCTGCTCTACATTTGAGGAGCATCATCAGCTTTCCTCTGCCAATACTGTTATCACACATCAAAAAATTTGTTTATCCTGAATGTTTTCTGAAAAGCATTTAAAATTCACCAATTCACTAGAGAATAAACACTCATTAGTTAGTAGCAGAAAGTAAACACTCAGAGGGAAAAAACAGAGTTAAAGTGATATCATTTAAAAATTCATATGAATATTCATGGCATTATTTTGCCTCAGTTTCTAGTTCTAGTAGCAGTGCTCTTTCTCTGAAGCACTAATTTAATTGAGTATATACATGTTTATGTGTATAAAGGTTCTCAATTATGTGTTTCATCAACTCTGCATCATTCTTTCCCAGGCATCTGTTTCCAAACACACAATTCAAAGGTCCATAGTCCTTATACAGCTGTTTTTCACAGTGGGTTTGCCTGGAAAACTCTCAGATGATAAAAGTTTTTTCTGAAATATACCTCAGGAACGTGAATTACTTGTGGCACTTTAAAACCATTCTAGTGTTGTCAAGTCACAAGTGTTTTGTAAACCAGTACCCAGGTTACACGAGGACTTGCTGAGTACCTCTTCTTCAAGCACAAAGGCTTGATGCTAATTCTGCTCACAGTGATGTTGATCTATAAGGAAATAGGGATCTGCACAAACAGAATACAATTCCTCAGAATTCATATACTGCAAAATTAAGCCCCAGTCTCTTTAGCTACTACCCTGTGCCTATTTGTCTGGCCTAATATTTGTTGTGTGAGCTTTGAACTTTTGTGTGAACTGCACAGAACATTGTAGTGTGTAGTTCACTGTTGTAATCTAACACATTCTCCTGCTTTCCTGGCATCAAAACAATTTTAATTTCTGTACTCATCACTCACAAGACTTGTCCAGTGCTAGCTGCATCCTGTAAGACTGTTCTTCTTTCTTCTAAGAAAACCTGATTTATACTTGCATCTTCTTATTTCCAGTCTCTTTTCACTGACCTCCCTTTCACTGTAGCCCCGCTAAAAGCCCAAACTGAACTGCTCCCTTGCCTCCTTGAACACTGTACCATAATTCCCGGGCTTTTAATCCATAAATCACTCACTATTCATCCTCTTCTCATAAATACATATGTCTAAGGAGGCCTATAATCACTAACACATCCATACATTTAAAATTAAAATGCTTACCAGGAAGCATTTAGGGCTAATAATAATGAAATTATTACCCTGTTTTCCCCCACTATTTTGTTGCTCCTGAAGAGGTTTATCTTTCCTCAGGTATGTTAAAATAATTACTTTACAAGTACAAGAAACAGTGGGTCTCCACCTAATGAAAATACATTATCATTTCAATGACATTTGAGAGGAGGGAAAAAAGTGGCAAGAGGTCCTGAAGGAAGGAATTACTCTCAGTAATTCAAAATACGTGACCTGCACTGATTTTCTCCCTCACAAATGTTCTCAGGAGGTCGAATATTATTTTCAAAAGTGCATTTTGCAGATTATTTTCAAAATATTTACCCAAGCCACCCCAATCCCTTTTGTTTGGGTGAATATTGCTGCTCTGGCCAAGCTGCTCTGGCCAAGCAAGATATCCTCAGAGATAAAGAAATCATGTTCTGTAGGCGTCAGCCAGCCCATGGCTGAAGGACTGACAAGGGCACTTGGTGCATCCCTCAGCTGCTGGGTTTATGGTTGGTGTCAGTGAACTTAAAGGTCTTTTCCAGTCTAAACAATCCTATGATTCCACTACGGAGTGTTTTACAAAACCCTTTTATAACCTCCTACTCAACAGTGCAGAAACAGTGGGATAGATGCACTGTGGATATGGCGCATGAAGCAGCAGCTCTTTTCTAACCTTTTTACCATCTAGGCAGCCTGGGATTTGTCACACTGAGACCTGTGGGAAGAGTGTGGTAAAGCCACTTACTCTGATCTTGAAAAATCCCTGTGCTGGGGATTACTCCTCTGAGACTCAGCTTCACAGCATCCAGAAGAAGAACTGGCATAGCCCAGACGCAAGCCCTGTTCTCAAAATTAAATCTGTAAGTCATGCCAGTAATCTACTCAGATTTAGCCATCAGCTATCTAGAGGATATATTGCTGCTTCATTGATGAGAGGAAAGGGGAAGCATAATAGAAATACTTATCAGCTAAAAGTGAAATAGGGGATTCAGCAACTAGTCCCCAAATGGACAATTTAGAGGGCTCTGATGTTTGTTGCTGCCGGTGGTAAGTGGCCAGTCAACAGCAAACCCAGCTGTTCATGTGCCCATAAATCTGCACAGGCAATCCCAACTCTGACTCCTCCCGGTCTCTGAGTGCTCACTCACCCAAACTTTCAACTCATAGATGTATCTGTGTGCAAAATACATTCAGAAAACAACCCCCCAACTGACACCTCAGCAACTACATCACATACAGACTTCTCTAAGAAAACTCTCATAAATCCACAGATTATTTTTTTTTTTCACATGCAGATTGCCAGCACCGGGTTTACAATCTGAAAACTCATTTTGCCTAAATGCACTTTGTTGTAAGAAAGTAACAGGGGAAAAGAGTATCTGAGACTCATGTCTGAGTCTGCCTTCGGTTTAAAAGCAGCAGATGAGATTTTAAAAAGCAAAGTAAGTGGTATGATTGTAAAACAGATATAAATTTTACAAAATTTCCACAATGAAGTTCTCTCAGAACTTTGTCAAGCGAATTTTCACAATTTTTAAATCATTTTCAGCTCTTACAGAGTGACTTTGGTTTTGAAGGAGCATTGGTCTCTAAATAAAGCAGCTTTGATTTTCTCTTTGTCTGCAGGTACCTGAGCTGTGACACGGTATGTTGTTGAAACACATACAGTACACCAATCTCTCTTAAATGTGATTTTTCAGAATGCCAAGTTAAAACTAAATGGTCTGGAAGACAGAACAAAACACAGATTGTGCTTCCTAACATAAAGTCTTACTTGTGGTGACAAAGCAAAATTTTAGTGGTTTGCCAAAAGCAACAGAAAAGTTTAGTTGTGCAGCTCTCTGCTCCCTGATGCACTGAAAAAGAAAGCACCTTCGTATTCAAGATCAAATCTAGGATAAAGTTACTTTTCAAGCCAATCAAAAAAAAAAAAATGGTTCTAGTAAAATGTAACCATCTTGTCAATTAACTTTTTAACTTGCACTTTTTGTAATGAAAATTTGAAAGATATATTTCAAAATTATAGACTACCCAAAAGTCAAAATTATAATTTAACTTTATTATTAATAAAGTAGTATTTCTTCAAACCACACTTTGGTCAAAGCTTTTACAACTGTAGAAAACTTCAGACCAACGCTAATCCACCATTTGCCCAATGGCAAACTGGTACTAATTCAGAGCTTACTTGCAAACTGCTGTTTTACATCAAACAAAACTGCAAGTAAAAAGTGGGGTTTTTTTCAACCAGACCATTGTGGATTGATGCCAACATTACTTTTGAATCGAGCAGAGTTTGAGAAAGTGTTATCACAGCATTGGAGCAAGAATAGAGATCTCTGATCATAAGCAGACATCAAAAAGCCAACAAAGCTGAATATTTTTTATTTTCATCTCTTTCCACCCACTGGGGAATTTTCAGAAAAAGACACCTAATTGCAGTGTGAGTGCTCACACCAAAATTTTTTGAGAGGGATAAATTGCATGTATCAGTAGAGAACTTAAAATATCCACACCTGAAAACTAAACCACTAGTTCAGGTTAAAATAGGAAATAGTTTTGTCACTTCTAACACTGTGAAAAAGCAGCAACTTCATATGCATTGAGAGAAAAAAAAAAAGGGAGAGGATTAAAAAAAAACCAGAGTGCTAAACTCCCCAAACTCTTTAACAACAGAAACATATTTTCCACTGTATTTACCGTCCATTGCTCTCCAGAAAGCTGGAAAATAAACTTGTTTCTTTCCTTATTCACTTCATCCGACAAAGCATGTCTTTTCTGGAGCTGAGGATTCTTTCCAGAAGTGTCCAGGTTCTTCTCACTGGTGTCTACAAAGCCATTTTTGAGGTATTTTGATTGAGGAATACCTTTCTTACGGCACTCTAGTATCAAAGTCCATTCCTGTTTTATCCTGAAACAGTGCCAAAAAGGGTTTATGTGAATCAGCTGAAAAAAAAATATAACAGCTAAGTCTTAAAGCCTGATCTTCGTTTCCACAAGTACTTAACAAAATATAATTATTTATCTCAAATATTGACGGTTATTTAAAAAAAAAAAAAAAGGCACATTCCTGTAGTCATGCAAAGATTTTGTAGACACACATATAGATTTCAAATGAGCAGAATTTGAAATTTGACTGACTACACTGACTACAAAACAGTGACACCCAGAGAATAACATAAAAGTGGAGACTGAGCACACTACCATGAAAAAGAATTGTTTTCATGGGATAGGAAATACATTCTCACAGAACAAGTTATATGCATAAACTATATGAACCTGGTGATGTATGCAAAAATTCTACTGTGGAAAAAAAAAAAGTCATTTTAGAATGTAAGAAATGACTTTTTTTGTTCCAGCATAATGATTTATTCTCATTTTCACACCAACATCTTCTTAGAAGGTAAAGGTCAATGTTATCACATGCCAACTAATTTCAGATTCCATTTCAGTGTAACTTTAGGTTCACCTCCAAGGTAAATTTTTTCTCATAGAACTGCAGGTGCAAAGTCAATTTGATCTAATTAAGCATTGTCAAAAGCATGTGCTTCTTAGTTCTGAGAGATTTATTTCAGCTTAGTCAGTTAAAGAGCAGGTTGATTAAGTGAAGCAAGCCTTTTTTACACCAAAATAAGACTCTGCAGAGCCCTTTGCAGAAGGGGCTGATCTCACACTTTGAATGCCAGATCCCTGTCATACATGAGACTCATTTGTGTGATCTCCACCCTCCAGCAGAAATGTTAAGCTAAAGGACTGAATCAAACTGACAGCTGAAGGAGGACACAAAGTTCAGGATAAAGTGCCCTTAGAGCAAGTAAAAAATGTCATGTCCTAGAAAGAGAATCACATGCAAGTTTGTAAAGTTCGAATAGGAAGTAGCAAAAATTGTACAGGTACTCCCAGATAATGATGGGATTTTGCTCTACAGTGTTCAGGTATTAAAAATGGCACATGAAACAGAATCACAAGAAGCATCTGCAAAACCTTTTGTGGAAATAAATAATTTTCGGACACTCATAACAAGGTGTGAGATAACAAGGTGTGCAGTGCAGAACGTGCTTACAGGAATATGATCGAACAGATTAAAAGTCATATTTGTCTCAGTGCTATCAAAATAAATCTTAAGAGATCAAAACTGCATGCCTAAATAGGAAAGGTGTTATTGAGACAGCTGGATGCACTGTGGCACTCACAGAAACCTCAGGGGATGTTAGAGAGACTTGAAAGGAGAGAGCACAGCAACAGCAGAGACAAACACACAGCACAGGGATGTGTTGCAGACACTTTGTACAGTTTTAGAAAATACATATGACCATTTGTCAGGGAAAGGAGCCTGAGAGACCACTGGAGGACAGTTTCAAGGAGGAACACACTACACATGGGACCACCAGAGAACTGTAAAAAGCTTCTTCAGTAGTAACAACTGCAGTGTGTTCCCAAGTGACATCTTTATAAGGAGAAAATACAGGGAAGCACCATCTAAGGTATTTCAGAAGGTGAATTAACAGGGAAGTTTGTTAAAAGTGTAGCTCACTGGATAAAATGTTGGCAGACTACATGAGGACAGCACAAATTCAAAGCACATTCTAAAGAAGAGACAGTAAGGATATCTTTCTCCCCTTGTTGCAAAAAAATGCAAAAATATTTAAAGAAAGATAAAATGGTACTTATCTTCCAACTAAGAAATTATAAGGCAGTATAAGGTCCGATAAGCACAAAAAAAACCAAGTGAAGTTCCTTACTGCAGGTATACAAATGAATAGGAAAAGGATTTTGTAGCATATCAAAAGCAGGAAACCCCCCCGAGAGATGATGGGAACAATAATTTATCGAGATATGAAAGGAGCAGCGAAGGAATATTTATAGAAGTTATTGAAAGCTGCAGAATTGGCTTCAGTTTTCATTAAAGAGATCAGAAAGTACTTTATGCGTAGATGCCTGGAGGACTTTCTGGTATTCAAAGTGTCAATAGAGGAGGCGTGAGAACACTGAAATATATATTTGAAATAGATCTCCCAATTTCTCCCAGTGTCTGCTGCAGTGTGGACTGCTTGTGATATGAGTTAGGAAGAAAATGACTGGACAGACAGAAAATATGTCCAGTAACACGTTGAGTTCAGAGAGTCCCAAGAGGGGGCAGAAGCTGCTGGTACAATAGGGGAAGAGTCCACCCACTATGCACACATTCTAATTTCTTCTGAAGCTACTTGATATGACAAAGACAAGAAAATAGGTTGGAGCAGACACAGTTCCTTAGCCCACATTGTGATACTTCAACAAGCTGCAGATAATATTTCTGGTTATAGAGACCCAAACACAGCATTGCACCAGGCAGCCCTACCAAGGATGTCTCCTCCAGTTACAGTTTATAACTGCTCAGATGACAGAATTTTCCACATCAGCTGATATTTTCCATATCAGCCATGAAAGTTCAAACACCTTTTTCAGATGCTCTGACACACGAGCCAATTCAATTTTTAGTGTTGATCTTACTTGTTCAATCTGCCATTTGAGCCACAGAAACCACCAGCACAAAAAAGGACAGAGGTTGTAATTATCTGAACCATTAAGAGGTAGAAACCCCAGGACCAAAGCCTTCGAATTCATTTATTTTCTTAAAATATTCTAAATAATCTTAGTTTCACTTACCACCACTGTACTGCTGTTTCTCACATTCTGCTCCAGTCCTCCACATACAGCTTTTCTGTCCCTCTGTGAAGCTTAACTCTGCATTACTATCCTCTCATTTCCATGGAATTCCTTCACTTTCCATCAGATCAATAAACTTTTGATCTCAGTGCATAACTCCATGCACTGAAAAAAACTTGCCCACAAAATGTTTGTTTTTTTTTTTAATTCATTGCTCTTCACTCAATCACAAAAAAAAAATTACTGACTCATTCCTCACAGTATAAATTCTAACAGTGTTAGAAACTTAAAAAAAAAAAAAAAAAAAAAAACACAGACAGAAGAGGTCAAAAATCTAACTCAATAAGAAGTAAGGCCCTGAGCTGTACTATTACACCTCAGTGCTGGTTCTGTCAGGTAGACTCCAGGAGCACTGGAGCAGAGGGTTCAGATCTAAAATTTTACTCTCTTACAACAAGGAATATAGAAAATGGCAAGAAAGGAGCTACATTAAAGCTGAAACAATAAACTGCCCTCTAACAGTTTGCTGATAACAAAACACTAAACACAGGAGGTCATTGCCAGCCAACTAAAACAAAATGCACATAACAAAAAATGGCTGTTAAGCAAATCAGTCGGTGAAATATTGACCTCAGAAGAAAGAGAGGCATTAAAAATTAAACCTGGTAGGGAATTCAATATGGATATTACACAGCAATATGGAAATCCTGTGTCAAATTTCTTCTTTAATCCCACATTAAATTTTGGCAAAACGCTCTGTTAAGCTTTTAAAGAATGCAAGAATGCCCACTTATAGTCACCAGACTATGTACAAGCACATTTTGAACAGATGGAAAGTGAATTAATAACGGAGCAACAAAAGTGCATCATTTTGTACAGTACATTTAAGAATGAAAACATTATATTTCCCATAGGTAGAGGTTCAAATAGTTCACAACCCCTGCCCATACTCTCAAGTTACACATTAACCAAATGAATCCCTATGAGCCTTCCTGGCCTGGAGCTCTGACTTACACCCCAGCCAGGACCTGTCATGAAGCAAAGACTACAAAGCTGCAATTTGCAGGTTCAGTTGAGATGAAACCAAAGGGATGTTGTCATTCTGCTCTGTCATTGTAAAAAAACTGAGGTGATGGTACTTCTTAAGGGATCTTTATAAAAATAAAGACCATTTCAAGTCTTTCTTTGGTGGCAACCCTCAAATAAGACAAAATTTCTGCCACGCTTTTCATATCTGAAGGCTATTGTATGAATCTTCTGAATCTTTCTGAATTTTCTGAAAGAAAAGGCTTCTAAAACAGTGTGGAAAACAGACACCACAGATATCCACAGAAATAAAAATCATCTTTTAAATGCATAGAGAAATTAGATTTCTGGTCTTGACACCTTGAAGGCTCCTGATATTGCAGAAACACATTTTCACACAAGGGAAATTAGTTGGTTACAAAAATCACAGCCCTCCTAAAGTTCATGTCTTTTTAATACTATTCAGCAATAAAATATTTTGATCTTCCTCTAGAACTTGATCAAACCATTGCAGTCAGACTAAAGAAACAACAATCATTTTCAGTGTTTAAAAAGCTGGAGTTAGTCAAGCCTAATTTAGGTGGGAGTATGGACAGAGAAAAATATTTTTCCTGGACAAAAGACCCAGACGAGAACTAAGGTTCCAACTCAGTAAACTAGCCCAGTATTTCCACTTCAATCATAAAAATAGTCCAAGTCATTTTTTAAAAGGCTGGTTGCGTGCAGCTTATGTTTGACAAAAAAAGAAAAAAAAAGTTAAGTTTTATACCCATATATCTGTAACACAAAAGCACACCTGTCACTGAGGCAGACTGTACATGGTGTAAAGCAAATTTTACTTTGGCAAGTTATTTCCCAATACACTGTCTTTTTCCAGTAAGCTTTCAGGACCATACACTGTAGATATGAAATGGGAACACCAGGGAAATAGAAGATTCAGGTATTTCCATTTTGGTTATTGCTGAATTTCTCATCAGGTAATCATTCCCCAAATGCTATTTCACTGCTGCAGTACACCTGCAGAAATGAGATTTCACAAAACACAACCTTTCTATATTATTATTGTTATTATACATATTACCTGCCAATAATAGGGCAGCTCCTTGCCTGACATTTTAGTTTCTCCAATCTAATCAACCTGATGCGAAGAGTTACTACACAACAAATTCAGTGACTGGACCTTTCAAAGGAGCAACCACCTTGGAAAACAAGAATTGTGCGTTGGTGAGGATTTCA